GAAAGGCTTCAAGCTAAATGATGAATCTCTCCTGCTTCCCAGAACACTGGGTATCTACACCTTATGGGTCATCTGCAAGTGAAGATTAATTCTGTTTGCGCACACAAGCCGTGGTAAACTAAGCACATGGCCAGCTAGCTTGCTCATAGTTGACAGAAACAGTGCTGGAAACATCTATCACTCAGGGGCCCTGCAGAAGGGTGGCACATTCAACTGGGCAACTGATGGAGCTTAATCAAGGGATTACTCACACAGGTTCGGGTAGGGGACAGGGACAGGAGCAAGGTTATGTGAGACAGTCATAGCCAGGAGCCCCAGGCTGGTTACCAGAACCCAGAGAGAGCAGCTGTTGGGGGAGGGTCTTCAGCAGGGGGACTCTCACAGGTCGGGTCCTGAGACACCCAGGAAGGTAGGGAGGAGAGGGAGTGCACCTGAAGAGCTGGTGGAAATGCCCTGCACAGTACTGAACAACTGGAGACTAAACCACAAGGTAACCTTATGATAGAGTCGGAGAACAGAACACTACATCCTTTAGAATGAAGATCTGAATCCAGATCCAGACATTACCACGGTAACATATCCCAATAGGCAGCTACCTGGTAAAAACAAACAAATAAATAATAAACAAATCTAAATACACTAAGACCCCAAATTTGGATATCCATCAAATGTTACAGAGGTTAACTCTGCGTGGGGAGATGTGGCTGACTTTCCTACTCCTTTTCTTCAAAGTTTTACTTATGTACAGCTTGTCAGTTTAACTTCTATGATGCAGGGATGTTAGACTTGACTGGAGAACACAAAGTGTCTCCGGAAGCTCAGATTTGTTTTTGTGTTTTTTTTAAATATATCTTTACTGATTTCAGAGAGAGGAAGGGAGAGGGGAGAGAGAGACAGAAACATCAGTGATGAGAGAGTCATGCATCGGCTGCCTCCTGCACGCCCCCGACTGGGGATCGAGCCCGCAATCCGGGCATGTGCCCTGACCGGAAACTGAACCTCAATCTCCTGGGTCCTAGGCCAATGTTCAACCGTTGAGCCATGCCCGGCCGGGCCTGAAGCTCAGATTTGGACCTTGTCTGATGCTGAGCGCTTTTAAAAGCAAACTCCATTTGTTACCAAAAGTATAACGGAAAACGGGGAGCATGCTAGTGTCACTGATGGACTGCATCCCAGAGGTTCACCCTAACCAGCTAACTTCCAGAAGTAGTCTTGTAATTAACAAGGGCTGCACAAACCACTTGTTTGAAAAAAGTGACTCCTAGCCTATCAGTTGTGCACGTTCCCAACTATACAACCTCAAACCAAACCCCACTGGATGCAGCAGCTGCTGCTGGCCGTTGCAGCAGTCTCCCTACCCACAGTGCTGCTTTCTGCGGTTTCAGTCACCCGCAGTTACCCGCACTAAAGATTATTAAGTGAAAAATTCCAGAAATAAACATTTCGTAAGTTTAAAACTGTCCACTGTTCTGAGTAGCATGAGAAAAGTGTCACGCCATCCCGCCAAGGATGTGAACCATCCCTTCTTCTAGCAACTCCATGGTGTACACACTGCCCACCTGTCAGCCACTCAGTAGCCGTCTAGTTATCAGACTGACATTCATGGTATCACAGTGCTTGCGTTCAAGTCACCCTTATTTTACTCATTAATGGCCCCAAAGAGCAACAGCAGTGATGCCAGCAATTCGGGTATGCCAAAGGGAAGCCAAACAGTGCTTCCTTTCAGTGAAAAGGTGAGGATAGTATAGTAAGACATTTTGAGAGAGAGAAAGACGCTACACCTAACTTTTATCATAATATATTGCTATAACTGTCCTGTTCTATTATTATTGTTGCTACTCTCTTACTGTGCCTAATTTATAAATTAGACTTTACCATAGGCAGGTCCGTATAGGAAAAAACTGTGTGTGTGTGTGTGTACAGGGGTCATTAGTATCTACAGTTTCAGGCATCCACTGGGGGTCTTGGAACCTATCCCTCACGGGGTAAGTGGGGGACTACTGTATGTAGAATACATTTGAAAAATAAACATCAGAGAGGGCCGCAAATTTCTCTAGAACCTCTCTTCTCTCAGGGACTTAGGCAGAAAGGCTCATCAATTTCTCAAAAGAACAGTGGGGGCAACCACCCTACTTCTGCAGGCTGGGCGGGCTCTTCCGGGTCTGGCGTGGGGCAGAGTCGTGCAGGGGGTCCTGAGTTGAGGGGCTTCAACTTGACTGCTTCCCAGTTGCTCACCACCACCGGACCACCCATAAGCTCTGCCTTTCTTGAGGTCTGAAGACGCCCAGGCTCCCCTCCTCTTCCTCCCAAGCTCCAGGCACAATAAGCTACCACGCCCGCAATACTCTTTACACACTAGCACCTGTGCTAGGCACTTGTCTAATTGGTAGAAACAACTCTGAAACTGCCTCTATTTCCCAAGCAAGGGTAACAACACTGAGGCTTCCTGAGGCCATCCAGGCATCAGGGTGGAGTTGGAGGAGCTGAGGCTCAAAGCTGGATCTGCTGGCTCCGGGCCTGAGCCTCATGTATGACCCTGCACTACCTTCTAGGAGTGGCCTGGCCAGCTCACAGCACAGCTCATCAGGTGCTGGGATCACAGTTGCCTGGGCTCCCAGAGCCGCTCTCTGCCTCCCAGGCCCAGCCTTTAGAGCAGCCTTCCCCACCTCCTGGGGATCTAATGATGACAAAGAGAAAAACCATCAAGCACAAGATATAAAAGCAGCGCAGGGAGCAGCCACTGACGATTGTGCTCTTCTAGGAAAGTCCACCGAAGCCCTGGGAAATGCCTCTGAGGTTTCTCTTTAGACAGAGATATCCAGCAAAAACAAGTATAACAGACTCAGAAACAATGCTGAAGGGCTGCACATAAAAGGCCCCGTGACTGTTTACTACACAAGGAAAGCTCAGTCTTCTGAATTCTTTCCAATAAGTCCTCAACTCCCTTTAGGTTTTTCAAATTTAAAATGTAGCAGCACTTCTGGGCCACACTAAGGACTGGCCTGGGACACCCTGCACAGTCCCCAGGTTCACTGTACCCCCCGCGACGTCTACCTGCAAAGGAAACATCAGTATGGGAACTTCCTCTCATTAAGATGCCAAGAGACAACGGGTTTACCAGTCCCAACAGCCAGCTTCCACGCAGCTGGGCTGCACCGCGCCTCGGTGAGCTCACGCTCCTTCTCCAGGGGAAACGTGGAGCCCACAGACTGCCTGGCGACGCTGCCTGTTAACAGAGCGGAGACATCCTGTGAGGCACGCCCAGCACTGCTGACCTCTTGGGAAGAGGCATGCTTAGGAGATGCAGTCAGAGAAGAGGCAATTAATGCATTCGACTGGCACGGCTGAATTCCAGCCATCTGAAGGATTCCGAGACAGTGCCTTCAAATCAAATCAAATTCTCATTTCTCAGCCTCAAGCTCAAGGCCTCTCACAACCTGGTTCCGATCTCACTTTGTACTCTCATTTCTCCTCCCCTACACAAACTCCACACTCGACAGAAGTCCAGTGACCCCGGCGTCCCCAAGCCCGCGCCTCTGCTCTTGCTGTTCTCTCCACCTGCAGTGCCCTTTCTTTGCCCCACTAGCTCCCACCTGGTTTTAACCAACATGTTGGTTCTTTAATTTCATGTCAAATCCCACCTCTCTGGGATGTGCCCTGAAGCCCCTTCCTCCTTCTCACACCTCCTACCCATGCCCCGCTCCCATGGTGCCCCTCTACCCACCCCTCCTGCCATTTCAGAGTGCAGGTACACCTCCCTCACAGACCACTTTGGTCTTGGCTTGACTAGTGAGTACAGCTGTCACATGCCTACACACACTACTCTGTGCGTGGTCTCCGAGGGGCTTGGAGCTCTGTCCCTCATTCTGGCTCCGTTTGGTGGCCTGCACCCAGCACAAGTTCACCTCACACAGCTTCACCCAATGGGAAGACCTCCTAGTATGCAGGGTTCCTAACCAACAGTCCTAAACCCCATCTTATCTGGAGATAAGTGTGCGGTAGGAATTGCCCCACCCTGTTCCCACAGGGGAATGGGATCGGCTGTGGTTTACATAACTTTGCAGTTGCAACCAGAATAGAGCCGGGCTGGGCATTCAGTCTACGCTGTTCAATGGACATGTCAGCTGCACCGCTCCCCCCTCTTGAGAGCTAAATTCATCTCCTGCAAGTGTTCCTGGGAGACAGACCCAGTCCCAGTCCACTTCAAAGGCAGCTTTCTCCCAGCCAGAAGCCTGTGAGGGTAGCACTTTAACATTCCCGGGTGTTTACCATCTCTGAGAAACATTCTTCTGCCCAGCAAGATACACCACAGGTTACTGAGAAGTACTTGGGTACATATTTCCAATTACTCTATAGCACTGGTTATGAGGGAGACCTGAATGTTCTCTCCTCACTAACCCCTCTGTTTCCTGAATCCCCCACCCTCGTCTCACCAACCTGAGGATGTGGAGTGGGCAAGATGCTTCTGCTGGGAGAGGCGTGGGGTCTTTTAGGGGACACAGTAAGCATAACCATGGAGGCAGAGGAATAGGGAAGAAAAAGGCCCCCTGGGAGCCCCTTTCAGCAGCTTCCCCCAAAGCCCGGCCCCTTGCTCTGCCCTCCTAGTTAACCCTGGACCTCCCCTCCTTCCCGAAGACCCCTGAAAGGACTCGAGCTCTTCTTAAGTATCTTCAGGGTGAGCAAGACTCCCTCAGTGGGGCTGATGGGACTCACATATTTCCAAACAGCATGTCATCATGGGAACTGCCTCCCCCTCTGTCCTGCTGTGCTGGGCGCCTCCACCCTCCAGCTAAACCTTGGATTGACCTGTCCTCTGTGGTCCAGGTAGGAAGATCTCCTGCCCTGGCTACTTGGGGCTTGCTTCCCTCACACTGTCAGAACCACTCTGGTCACAGTGAAGGAACCAGGGCCACCCTGGCCCACATCCCGGTCCTGGGAGTCATGCACAGGGGAGCCGTGGTGGGCTGTGGCCAGCTCTCTGTGACGTCACGTGGCCTTACCTCATCCCACTCCGAGGCGAAGGAGGGTGACTTCTCCAGCCTCTTCTTCCCAATGCTGCAGTTGGACAAGGACTCGCTCCGGCTCCCCATCGCTGCGTCCTCCGTGGGCGAGCAGGTCAGGAGATCAGAGTCAGACTTGGACAAGCTGCGGCTGAGTTTGAGTTCAGCTTTGGGTTTGCTGGTGGGAGGGACTCGGCTTCTGGCCCCGCTCTGGTCTCCTTCTTCCTCAGCACCACCAGGGTGTGGAGAGGCTGTGTGAGTCAAAGTTTCGGGGTGCGATTGGCTGTTGGTGGTGGGCAGGCCTGCTGGGTAGGCCCCTCTCTTACTCTGGTCCAGGACACTGGGCGGGGAGCCTCCAGGAGTGCACACGCCTGTCTCCTCCAGCTGCATGCTGGCCTCGTGGCAGGTGCCCTGCGCGGGGGAACCTTCCGGATGGCTCTGGGCAGTGGCAGAGAGCAGCTGGAAGGGGTCCTGCCCCACCTCACACACCGGGGAGGAGCCGTGGAGGAGACCTGAGAACTGCTCTGGGACCTGCCCGTCCTGCCCCTCCGCAGAGTCCTGGCTCCGGATGCTGCTGCTCCGCCTGTGGTCTTGAAGTGAATGGAGAGAGAAATAAAAAATTAAACGTGGCAAAAATCAACAAAGTTCCAATGCAGCGAGCATACAGCAGAGTAGAGGAATTCAAACAGAGGGAAAGAGAGGGATGCTGGATGGGCTGGGAGAGGGCAGAGGGAGAGAAGAGAGAGGAAAGAAGAAAACAGTTTCGTATTGTTCTTAATGTTCAATTTGTACCCAAAGTCAGAGCACTTATGAAATTCCAAACACTGGCCTGATTAATGCTATCTGGCAGCCTTCCCTGTTGTTAGGTTTCTGTTAGCATTAACGACCAGACCTTGCTATATAAGGCGAGAAGTGCTAACTATATCCTACGCAAGGACACAGTGAGGAGAGAGTGAGTGGACACGGAGTAAAAGTGAGAGAGTGAGCGAGCGCGCCAGCGAGCAAGTGTGAGCAAGGGAGCCGAGCTTCTGGAACATCTGATACGGGTCCATAAAGGCCAAAGTGTTATTTAGAGCCACAGCCCGCCCTCCCTCTGGCGAGCAGCACGGAGGGAGAGAAAGGAGGTCACGATCCACAACCTGCAACTTCTGGAATTCCTTAACCGAAAGTGCAAAACAAACGGCCGAGAAATGACCGCTTCCTTCCTTGGGGGGCTGTTTGAGCTCCACGCCTCATCCTTCCTTCCGCAGGGAGCACAGACTTTTCTTTTTTTCTGAGAACGTGCACATCTCACCCCTTCCAAAGCGTCCCAGCTGCTCCTATTTGTTTAAGTTTAACCTTAGTTGATCCACTAAAAACAAAACGGTCTAATCTGTCAATGCTAGGAGACATCTGCAGGTCTCCCAGACCTCCCTACCATCCCAGAAATCTGACACTAACAGCTCATGAAGCCGACGGCTACTGTGCCCTCCCCCAGGGTATCGAATACCTCTGCCCTGGAGTAGCATAAATAATTGACCAAATCAGAGTCCAACACCGGGCTCACACTGGGACACCCAAGGGGCTCGCCTGGCATGAACTGGGACCCATTAAGAGATTTTAACCCATACCAGCAGGTAGAAGACAACCCTGCAGCCAGTCCCAGCTCACATTCCAAAGCTAGTATTCAACTTTATTTTCTCTGGAAGCTACGGCACATACACCGAATGATTCCCTCGTCTGCCCAAAGTCCCAAGAACTATTCATGAGATCTGAGAATCTTAGAACTGAAAGGTCGAGTTCAGCTATTTTTACAAGTGAGAAATCGAGGGCCCTTAGGCCTTGGGGGTCGATCCAAGGTGGTGGGGGAGACTTTAACCCAAGTGCCTAAACACCTGGCCCTCCCGGCTGCGCTGCTCACAAGTTGTGCAGCCCTGGCATTGAGTTCACCTTGCTGGGCTTCAGTATCTAAAATGAGAATCTAAAATGAGTAGGCTGGACTGCAGGGTTCAAAATCCCTTTTATGTTAAGATGGTGATGAGAATCCAAGGCTCCCCCATACTGTGTGGCCAACTTCTACCCTCCGGTGTGCTGCAGAGCCCTGCCTGGTGCCTGCACAGCACCCACTCTCCCCATCAGTGTGCCTGCAGCCCAAGGCCCCTCCTTGGAGCTCAGAGCCCAAACTGAACAGGGCGGTGGGGGGGGGGCACTTCCTAAACCTGCTGCACTAACTCAGCCCCTCTGCCCGTGTGCAGTGCTGGTGCCACCGCGCTGCTTCTTCCAGACAGCCTTTAAGGAAGGGTCCCAACAACCAGCTCTCATAGTGAGCCGTCACCCTGAGGTCTGAGCAGGGACATGGTTCAGTTCACCCCACCATCTGGAGAAGGACAGTTCAGTCTCCACTGCCGACTCAGCTAAGTCTGTAGAGGCTGCCGAGGGGCAGCCGGTTAACTCCACTCTCCGGCTCTGATTACATACCCTCAGGAGCCCACAAGTATGAACTTTGGCATCTCCTTCCTCTACACTTGACTGCTTCAGGACTCTCACACCCCTAACTCACAAACCCTACTCCCCAAAGGTCAGGTGCAGGGCGCGGAACAACCTGAATCGTTCCCCAAGGAGAACTGACGCTGCAAACACAGGGCTCCACACAGCTGAGCTCAGGCCTGGGACACCATGGCTCCAGGGCCATGAACATGAAAGCGCACTGGGGCTGAACAAAGCTGCCCTGTGCGCTGCGCCGCGGGGCCCCAGGGAGGACGACACATGACCACTCAGTGGTGGCGCAGGCCCACAGCACTCCTAGAAGAGGTTGATGGGAGAGGCAATCAAGCTGCAAAATCTGCCACCTCTAGGACTAATTCTAATGGCCAGCCTCCTGCAGGTCCTGCCCAAGGTGCAGCGTCCCTCTGACTGCACTGAAACAGAGAAAGGACTGTGACAGGAGTGAGCACAGGCTTCCATTTCTTTGCATCAGCTTCTGGCTTCTTCTTTAACCATTTGAGAAGGGGGAAGGGGTGAGTCCAACAAAAGAAAAACACCACAGTCCAGAACTGGGAGCCAGCGTGGCTCCTGTTCGTGGGCGGACCTCAGAGCCCAGGCCACAGAGAGTGCCTGCTGCTGCTGCGGGAGCCCACAATGGGGGCCCTGTCTAACAGCTGCCATGCAAGTGAGCCTTCAACGAAGGAAGAGAGGCCGGTGCCAAGAGCTCAATACCAGACTGAAGCGAGGGGAAGGAAGTGGGCAGAAGAAAGAAATGGAAACTTATGGAAGAAGGAAATATGTGAAGAGAAAGAATTTCTGAGGGTATAATCCCATTAGAGGAAACACAATCCACCGATACTTTATGGAGTATAGGATATCACAAGCCCTGGCCAGTGTGGCTCAGTAGAGTGTCAGCCAACACACCAAAGGGTTAGGGTTCAATTTCCAGTCAAGGGCACGTACCGGGTTGCAAGTTCGATCCCTGGCCCCCGTAGGGGTACGTGTGGGAGGCAACCAACCGATGTGTCTCACATCAATGTTCCCCCTCTCTCTCTCCCGCCCTCCCTTCCACTCTAATAAAAACAAAAACAAAACCCAGAAACAATGGAAAAAATATCCTCTACCTCCAGTGAGGATTAACAAAATAAAACAAACAAAAAAAGAAATCACAGAAGGAGATTCTCACAATTACAGGAGTCACCCAGGCAACTCCCTAGGAAAGACACTTCGGTATTCAAGGAGCCTGGTCTAAGAAGCATGGGGTCTTATGATAAGCTTGTGCTCTCATCCCACAGAAAGCTGCCCAAGCCTAAGCTAGACTTCCAGGCAAATCACCGGCGGGAAGAGATCTCCTCAATGGTCCCTTCCTCCTATCAGGCCAGGATGACGTGAGGTCTCTGACGGACGAGCTGCTAACAACAATGTCCTGGTCAAGAGCCAGAGCTTAGCAAGTTACTTAACTCTCTGTGACCAGGGTTCTCGTGTGTACTGTGGAATCTTAGTAGCACGTCTCTCATAGGTGGTTGTGGGAATTACATGATACATGTAAAGCATTTGGAACCAAGCTTGGCTCGTGCTAGCTCTCCACAGATGTAAACAATTGCTATTATCCCCACACAGGGCCTATTATAACATGTTTTGCTCACAGATGAGGCCCACTGCTTCTCTGTTCCTCACAAGAACCATCAAAGACAATGTACGCGACCAGTACGTATACCCACTGACGTCACCATCCTGACAGCTCTGGGCAGCAGGAGGAAACAGAGGTAACGGAGTGAGACACTGAGGCCCCTGCCTGTCTCCCTAACCTCCCTTCCATCCACAAGCTCGTGCAAAGTGTCTGCCGGGGGCGGGGAGGCGGTGGGGGCCGGGAGAGAGGAAGGCGCTGCCTGTGTTCACGGGCTTCCCCCCACTGAAGAGACACGGATACACAGGAACAACCAGCGACCAAGGCTTTAAGGAAAGCATAAGCCAACGCACGGTGGGCAGAGGGAAAGTGTGGTTACGTTCAACCAGGAAGCGTCTCAGAGAGGCGGCTTCTGAGCTGGCACTGAGGGGCAGGAAGGCCTTGCCAGGCTTCGAGAGAAGTGGAAATGCACCAGAAAAAGCAGAGCGCGAGCCTCGTGCGGGGTCCCACAGGCGTGAGGGGTCACAGAAGAGAGCCCTCAGGCTGAGGCTGCTTCCACCTGGGCCTCCGTGTGCTCTGCCTTTGGAATTCCAAGGCTCCCAGCCCCACCCTGCCCTTGGCCCTCCACTCCGCACCACCTGCCCTCTCGGGGAGCAGGAGGAAGCGGGCGGAAGGCTGTCCTGCCCCCTACGTCAAGGCCAGCTGCTGTGCTGACGGAACACGGGCACACCGACTCCCAGCCCCTTCAACTTGCGATCTTCATTCTTTTCTCTTCGCCCGCGAGCAGCTGAAGCAAGGGGTCTTCTGCGCTGCATGTTAATTACTGTGATGATCCTTGGGGACCTCGGCTTCTGAATAACGACGTTTTAACACATTCTTACTCACCTGCCCGTTAAACTAGGCTGAAAACTGCGACTCACATGAGGACTCACTAAGTCCAATAGACCCTGAGACCCAGAGGAGAAAGCCGGGGTGTCCAATCTCCCGGGCTGCTCTGGTCTCTGTTCCATTAGGACCAGAACACTGCCACTGCCTAGTCGCTGTGGTGGGCGTCAGAAACCTGTTTTTGCAGGGTCACCACGCTTCCCCCAGACGGAAGGTACTGACTAGGTTATGCAGACAATGGCCGGACATTGTATCTGAGCACAGACAGAGAATCCATTCTGGTCCATGGTAACCCGAGAAATAGAACCAGAGGCCTCAGATGCAGTCCCAGCCCTGTGACTTTTCCTCTGAGGGGAACAGCGAGGCTGCGTTCTCTAGGGCTTGAGACCTAGCAGGGTTTGAGTCTGTGAAGGCGACCTAGGTTTCCTTCCAGCTCTCTCATGTTAAGAATGTGAGCAGCAGCAGGGCTCTGGGTGAAATGATTTAACCTCATGGCTAAAGAGGCCTTGGATCCAGCCAACGAGGGCTTAAGGCCCAGCTCTAACACCTAATTTCCTTCCTCATCTACTAGACAGGGATAAAAGTAGCCCTACCGAAGGTCTGCCAGGAGAGATT